CACCTGGCTTTAAAAGGAGATAACAATAACTAATGCATATTTAGCTGTTGTGGGATATTTGTTCTCTGTGTGAAGATACATTGCTGTGGTTGGTTTAATAAAGGGCTAAATGTCCAATAGCTAAGCAAGAGGTATTGGTGGGGTGTCCAGGCACAGCAAGGACTCTGGGAAGAAGGTGGAGTCACCAGGGGTTACCAGCTAGACTCAGAGGGAGTCAGAGGAGCAGAATGCAGCAAAGGTAAAAAGCCACGTGGTAGAATATAGATTAAAAGATATGGGAAAATTTAAGTTATAAGAGCTAGTTAGGGACAAGCCTAACACAAAGCTGAGCATTCATAATTAAAAAGAAATCTGTGTCATTATTTGGGAACTGGCTAGCAGGACCGAGAAAGACATAAAACACTTAGTAATATCGAATTTGAAAAGAGTATAGCATCTTTTCTGGTAGCAAGAATACTATTAGTAATATAGTGTATGACCCCACCCTGTGTAAACTATTAGCTGGTGAGTGCTATATGCTGACACACAAGCCACAGCGAAATGCCCTGTATCTTAGCCCTCTTTCCAGACTGAAGTGAGTCAATCAGGTTTTAACTTACCAATAAGAGAGAGTTGCCCAATTGGAAATTTCACTGGCACAAGTAATCTCTCCAAACTGTACACCCACCAATTTTGTTTTCCTTCATTCATATGGTATGAATTAATGCATGCTGGGAAAGTACACAGAAAGTAACTGACAATGCTCCATCAGAGCATTCTTTATAAGAGACTAGTAGAGCTCAATGACTTAATCTCAAACCATTTCTAATCCAGATATTACCTAGACTGTTTCCTCCTGCAGTGTACACAATAAACTATTCCTTCTATTCTGTCTCAAATGAAAACTTACGTTGCACACAAATCATTTTCGAGCTACTGTAATGAACAGCCCATTATGTGACTCAAAAGGGTTCTATTAAATTGTCTGATGTTACAAACATTTAATACAAGAATTTAGGAGGTTGAGTCAGGAGAACAACAAGGTCAATACCGTGTGTGACTACACATGGGGATAAGGAAATATGAGTCAACATGAGTCATCATAAGAGACCTTGTTTCACAAGTATTTTTCTGAAAGGCTGAATATGAAGCTGTTCTAGATTTAATGAGCCTTCCCAAACACAAACAGCTTAATAAAGAATAGACTCTTTAACAATAACAGCTCTCCAGAGCTGTATAATGCTCAAGAGGATCTGTCCAGGAAGAGATTTGCTAATGCACATCCACCATAGGCTTAGGCTCTGCACATCTGCTATAACCCAGGAGAAATGCTGCTTTCTGCCCTGCTATCGTGGCTTACTCAGTTTGCTTTCTTATACAACTCAGGATCACCTGCCCAGTAGGATAGGCCCTATTCCATTAATCATTACTCAAGAAAATACTCTATAGATTTTCCTACATGTCAATTTGTTGTAGGAATTAAGCAGAGTCCTTGTATCTAGGATAAACATTAGAGTGAATAGTTGTTTTTGAGAAGTGCTTTGACCATGAAAAAATCATTGTGGAAATAATGATTGTTTTCTGTGATCTGTAGAATTGTGTTTCTGAGGGGTCATTACAGCCTGTGCAAATGATTTTGGTCAATAGATACTTCTGGCATACCTGAAGCTCTTGGATTACTGGGTACCAAATCCAGTACACATAATGACTAAAGAAGCAGGAGCATGATCCTTTCCTTTAGAGAAAATATAGATTAGGAACCTTTGTATGAGAAACTCGTGTGTAAGAATCCATAAATATGCCTGTCAATGGTGGTTTCAGGTTGAGTTCATAGATGAATGACATTTCTTTGGCCACACAGGCCTAAAAATTTCATCCTAGAGTGACCTCTTTCTTTTACCAATTCATCCAACCCAGAACACCCAAAATAATTCCAACTCTAGCTTCTATCAACCTACCAAATCCAATAAGCATACCTACAGAGTCATCTTGACTTCGAAACACAGATTTTTTTAAACAAACATCAACTCTCTTAACACTCACTTTTCAGTGTGTGGATCTGAATGCACACACACAAAATTTTGATAATCTGTCAAATTTGGGACTGTAGAGATGGTTCAGTATTTAAGTCTACTTACTCTTCTCATAGAAGACATGAATTTCATTTCCAACATTAACACTGTGGTACACAATCATGCCTACATCCTGTTGTAGGGGATCTGATGCCCCTTCTCTTCTATGGGCATCAGACATACAAGGAAGCAAAACACACATAGAGGTAAAATTAAATAAATATAGTAAATTAAAAAACACTCCCATGTTTCTTTTGTCATGATGAACAAAACAGCCAGAAATTACATAGAAATGTTACAAATATCTGTAGGACTATGCTATACCCAAGCACCTCATTGGGGATTCAGGCAGAGGCTTCAGCACTAAGAAATACCAAAAGATTGTCATTGGGTTTTCTAGACAGGGTACTTATCCATGAGCCACAACAATGATCTCGGGTTTCTTTCAAGATTGTACAGCATGCGTGTTTACTGCCATAAGTGAGTTTCAGGTCCAGAAGCTCAAACTGTCTTCTGACCCTACCCGCCAAAATGCTTAGTTTCCCCTAAGGTCTAATAGTATGCCAATAGTTGTTTATAAGGACCCGCAAAGGCCCCTAAGAGCATCCATATCTGACATTAACACTCCACGTACCATTGGTATGCCAGTCCAAGTACTATAGAAGCCTGCACAGCTGCCAGCACCTGTTGAATAGCCTTCTTCTGTTCCAGGTCCACACAAGCCAAAATAACACACCCAAGACAGCAATATGCTATCTCCAGAATCCAAACAGGCACACTAAGTATTGTGCTTCTTTTTCGTTGTGTGAGGGGCAGGTGCAATGACTTACCTTTTACATTAGAAGTAGTATCTCTGTAAAGCAATCATCACTGGACTCCTAAAAATATCAATGAGATTACACCTTTGAATTTTGGTTGAATTTATGACCCATTCTTGATGGGCATATGTGTTACCAATGAGTTCAAAGTGGTTGCTACCTGCTGCTCACATAGTCCAATCAACATAATACCATCAAAATAGTTCATCAATGTGATATTTTTGTTGAAGAGACAGGTGATTGAGATCCCTTCTAAGTTATGACATTTAGGGACAGAAAGGTAATAAATTATTTATTGATGTAAAACTGTGAAGGAAAACAGTCCAGTGCTATCTCTTCTATAGTTTTAAGTAGATTGGTTAGTGCATAATTAGAGGTTAAACATTTTGATTTTGTTGAAATTGCACTGGGAATAACTGTGGTTCATGAAGTCCGGAAGGACAATTGGTAAATGAAGTTAGCTTTTCACAGACTCTCCTAAGTTCTTATCAAAATGTAGAGAATTCAAGAGCAGATTGATTAGTAAATTACTCAGCTCATGATTCAGGGTCTTTTCCAGAACACAGATATGTCTCTAAAGGAGGCTCCAGTAAGGGAGCTGAGGGAGCTAGCACCTGCATCCATGTCAGTAGTGCTTTGCTCTCGATTTTGCCTGAACAAAAAATTCATCTTTACCTCTTTTACCAATTTTACACTTTTGTCATGAAGTTTATATTCATTCCAAGAACTTGATTTCACCTCTTCATGATTAGTATCCTCCTTAATATTGTGACAACAGTCCAAGTTAAGGACCAAGTGACCCCAAAATCAAAAGGGATCTTTTCCACCTTCTTTATATGTCTTTTCATTTTCCTTCAGAACTCTGTCCCATACTACTTCACCTAAATTGCCTTCTTCTGGAACAGGAGTTAAAAACAATTTGCACACAGTATAATAGTTATGCTTTTAATACTTGTGCTTCTACTTATTTTTAAAATGATGCACGTCCAAAATAAGGCAAAGCCTTCTCTGGTTTCTGCACCATTATTCTCACTCACCTCCTTCTCTGAGAGTGCTTGCTTTTTCATTTCATCAGCCAATTTTTGGTCCCTGTTCAAGAAACACTTGTCACCATTGTAGAGATGGAGAGCCCAGGGATAACTGTGCTGATAAATGAGGGATACTAAAGACTCATCCAAAAACCTACTTTATTAAGAGCCCCAGATAATTTATACTCTGGAGTTTAAGAAAGATTATGTGAGTAAAGTTTGATTATGTGTTCAAACTATACAATGACAAAAGCAATCCACATGGTACAAAAATATGCTTTCCCACGAAGGTATATAAAGCATAGTTCAACTGAATAAAAACAAACAATGATGAGTAATGTGAAGTAAGCTCACTCCTGTTATATTGTGAAGAACACGAAAACACATTCCAAGAAAAATTCTGAGTTTTGAAGAAACTGAAGTCACAATTGCCTTGTCCTGTTTTCTTGAAGTGTACACACAAGCACTCAAAATTCTCCTCACATGACTTCATTCCAGGTCAATATTCCAACAAACACATGAACAAAAATAATTTTAACAAAAGAAACATAACATATAAAGATAGATCTTTTTAAATATGGAGTCTCTCTCCTATCACACACACATACACACACACAAATAATGATATGTGTATGTATATGCATATATCTGCCTTTATTCCATTAATATACCTGGTGCCCAAGGAAGGCATAAAAGTGAGTCAGACCTCTGAACCGGGATTTACAGATAATTCTGAGCCACCCGATGTAGGTGCTAGGAACCAAACTTGGATAACCAACAGCAGCGGTGTGATGGGTGATGTTGCTCTGCATGCTGTGAATGTGTTGCTCTGATTGGTTGATAAATAAAATGCTGATTGGCCAGTAGCCAGGTAGAAAGTATAGGCGGGATAAGCAGACAAGGAGAATTCTGGGAAGAGGAAGGCTGAGTAAGGAGTCGCCAGCTAAACACAGAGAAAGCAAGATGTGAAGGCAGAACTGAAAAAAGGTGCCAAGCCATGTGGCTAAATAAAAATAAGAATTATGGGTTAATTTAAGTGTAAGAGCTAGTCAGTAATAAGCTTGAGCTAATGGCCATACAGTTTATAAATAATATAAGCCTTTGTGTGTTTCTTTGGATCCAAGTGGCTGTGGGACCAGCTTGTGAAAGAGATTTGTCCTGACTGCAGGCCAAGTGGGACACAGGAGAAAACTTTCAGCTACAGCAGTACTACTGAGTCAACTCTCCAGGTCCCAAAGATGTCATTATAGTACAAAAAATGAAGATGCTTCTGACCCTTTACCCCTTCTGCCTTCCATCATTTGCAGGTGATGAAAGTCCTTGCTACTTCTTCAGTGAAGATTTCAATCCCTTTGTGAATGGACTCTGCACATTGCTTATTTAAATTGTTAACACAATTCTCTTGGTGTGAATGACCCCAACAAATGACTTAGCTGAGTAGAAATGAGTCCACATTATGCTAGAGAAAGTTACACTATGTGACAAATACTTTCAAAAATGATTACTTATTTTTCTTTTATATCAAAAAGTGTTTTGACTGAATGTATGCCTGTATGACCTGTTGTATCCCCTAGAACTGGACTTTAAGACAGTTGTGAGCTTCTACGTAAGTGCTGAGAATTGATCCTGAGTCCTGTGGAAATGCAACCATATTTCCAAAACCCTGTTTTGGATTTTTTGAGAAAAGATCTCTATTTATAAAAAGGCCATCCTGGAACACAATATCAGGGAATCAGGCTTACCCGCAATCAAATTTGGTGATAAAATTCTCTGCCATTAATTTTTGTTTCTGAGAATATGATAAGAAAAAGTATTTAGTCCTCAGAATACAGTAACATGATCTAAAAATAATGATTGACAATATAAATATTAGTTTCATTTGAAAATATATTTTATTACTGAAATCATGTTTCTGTATTCTTGGAATACAATATGTTAACAACTTGAAAGGGACAATATTTTAACTAAGGAGAGACTCTACTAACTCAAGCACCAGTGAGACAGCTCAGTGGGAAAAACATGTGGACTGCAAGGCTTGACTCACTCATTAGGTTCATGGAGATTTTCACCAGTATGAAATTTTTCATGATTTTGAAGGACAATGCAACATGGCAAGACTTTACCACACTGACTACATTCATTGGGGTTTTGTCGAGAAAAATCTCTTTCAGGATTGTGAAGATAATTGTTCTGTGAAAAGTCTTTACCACATTGATTACCTTCATATGGTTTGTCTCCAATAAAGGTTATTTCCTTTATCTGAAGGGGACTGTTACATGCAAAATCTCTACTGTATTGATTATACCCATAGGGTTTCTCTCCATTATGACATCTTTCATGACTCTGAAGATGGGTTTTACGTGCAAATGCTTTATCACATTGGTTACATTCATAGGGTTTCTCTCCAGTATGACATTTTTCATGCCTATGAAGATTACTGCTACGTGCAAAAGATTTCCCACATTGATTACATTCATAGGGTTTCTCTCCAGTATGAATTCTTTCATGACTGAGAAGATGACTCTTCCTTGCAAAGGCTTTATCACATTGATTACATTCATAGGCTTTCTCTCCTGTATGACTTCTTTTATGAATGAGAAAATTCTCCAGTGTAAAGGCTTTAGCGCTTTGATTACATAGATAGAGTTTCTCTCCAATATGTTTTCTTTCGTGACTAAAAAGATTACTCTTCTGTGCAAAGGCTTTACCACACTGCTTACATTGATACGGTTTCTCTCCAGTATGAATTCTTTGATGACTACGGAGATTACTCTTCTGTGCAAAGGCTTTACTGCACTGATTACATTCATAGGGTTTCTCTCCAGTGTGGATTCTTTCATGACTTCGAAGATCACTCTTCTGTGCAAAGGCTTTACCACATTGATTACAACCATAGGGTTTCTCTCCAGTATGACTTCTTTCATGACTGAGAAGATTACACTTCTCTGCAAAGGCTTTACCACAGTGATTACATTCATAGGGTTTCTCTCCAGTATGAATTCTTTCATGAATGAGAAGCTTATACTTGTGTGCAAAGGCTTTACCACAGTAAGTACATTCATAGGGTTTCTCTCCAGTATGACTTCTTTCATGCCTGTGAAGATGACTCTTCTGTATAAAGGCTTTACCACATTGATTACATTCATAGGGTTTCTCTCCAGTATGAATTCTTTTATGTATTTGAAGATAACTAGAACATGCATAGGCTTTATCACATTGAGTACATCCATAGGGTTTCTCTCCAGTATAAATTTTTTTATATATTTGAAGATAACTGGGACTTGCAAAAGTTTTATCACATTGCTGATATTCATAGTTTTTCACTCCAGAATGAGTTCTATGTATTGGATGAAGACTGTGACATGTAGAGACTTCATCACTTTGATTATATTCATAGGGTTTTTCCTCCAAATGAGTAATTTGGTGTACTTTTATAGAGGAATCATATCTAAAGGTTCTATCATGTTGATTACATTCATAGAGATCCTCTTCATTATTGGTTGTTTTATGTGTTTGCAGATAACTGTGATGGCTAAAGTCATCAGTACATAGCTCATATTTATCACTTCCTCTTCCCATATGAGATTTTTCACATCTTTGAAAAGAACTGGAAGAACTCAGAGTTTTACAACACTGATTGCATGCATAATATTTTTTTATACTGTGAGGCACACTACATGTGCAAAGTGAATCAGTACAGACAGAAGAATTTCCATATTCCTTGTACTCATAAGGGTTTTCTCTAATGTGAGAGTATAAACTTGTATCACAGTCATCATGTCTTCTCACAGTGGGGACTACTACATATCTTCTAATTGTTCCAGGAGAAACAGAGGTATATTGCTTCTTTCCATATCCCTTATGCTCACATGAGTTGTATGAACACTGACAGTTGATATACCTATTAAAGGAAGAACAACAAATAAAAGATTTTCACATTACATTCATACAGTCTAACATTTTGTGCCTCAGAGATGTGGTATATGGATTCATGTTTCTACACCACAATTAATTCCTTGTCTCTCATAAAGTTCTCCTCTCACTAAACTACAGTAAGTCACTCACTACAAATGTATGAGGAACACTAGCTTTAATATGGAAGCTTTGCTTATAAAATGTCTTAGACATACACTAAGCCCCTTATCAATGTATATACCTTATGTGATGATTGAACGGCATGACAATTCTACACCATGCCTCTCATATGGCTATGATTAAAATTGTGACATTTGTTATAGCATTGTTTCCTTGTCTTATCCTTAATGGAATGCTTTCCACACAGTGATTGGCTACCTGACATTGGAGTACATGGTGTCGTGAGAATTTAATAAACATCACATAGCTGTGCTAATTTACACTGTTGCTTTTCTTTAAAAGTTTAGGGTACATTAACATTTCTTCCAAGGTACATATGTATCAGATTGCACATGAAAATTACCTTCCATGTCTTCTAGAACCTTGATAATATTCTTCAATATTGTAGTCTTCCCATTTGTAACCTAAAATACAGAACCAGAAAATATATGTGATATATTACTGGAAATTAGACACAACTGAAATTACTATCTTTCATGAATCTTTGAACAATGCCTGATTTATTCACTAGATCCTTCCTCTTTCACATTTGAAATGACAGAAGAGCAACAATCTCCAAGAAATGCTTATGTCCTTAAGTTAAAAAGTGACAGAATGCTCACATTCTTACCTATAGAAGTAAGGTTCCAGTAGGTTTCCAACATCACATCTTTGTACAGACTCTTCTGGGAAGGATCCAGCAAAGCCCACTCTTCATGAGTGAAGTTCACATGCACATCCTCATAGGTCACTGCATCCTAAAGGATCCCATATATGCACATAATAAAAATGATGAGACTGACTGCATTGCAAATATACATTTCATTGAAAATATATTTACATAATTCATTCTGCTCGTTATATTCTATCTCATAGGTCATAAAATATCAAATGCAGTCACCATCACATTTTAAAAGGAAACAGAAAAGGTTAATCATGCCTTCCATTTGTGCCCTCAAAACAGAATAGAGCATTGCATAAGAAATGCTTAGTAATATATACAGAGAGACATGCAAACAGATTAACACTATGTAGTATACATTAACAAAGTATTATCAAAATTATTAACTTCAAAAAACAATAGACAGTATGGGTGTGGTGGTGTCAATCTTTAATCTCAAAACTCAGGAGGCAAAGGCAGGTAATATTTCTGATTTCCAAGCCAGCTGGTCTGTGTAGAGATTTCCAGGACAGCCAGAGGTACATAGTAAGATCCTGTCTCAAACAAACAAACAAACAAACAAACAAACAAACAAACAGAATGCACTCAGAGGCTCACTTGAAATTCCTCCATAGCGTTAAAACATTCACTACAATTCTGTACTTCTCAAACATAAACTGGAGTAACCCCTGATAAACTGCAAGGCTAACAATTCCTAGGAAGGAATGCAGTTTCAGTAAGTTACTGGCAGATCAAAGAGGTCTCAAAAACATTAGTAAAGTAAATGCTGATCTTAAAAAAAGTAATAAAAAATGATAGATGTGTCAACTGATAAGATTGTCTGTTGCTTTTAAAGAGGTCCTAGATCAGTTCTCAGCACTCACTTGTGATTGCCAACTATTACTACCATTAGTCCAAGAGAATTCAATGCTATCTTCTAACTCCAGTAAATACCAGGCAGACAAGTGATAGTCACTCACAACCAACTGTAACTACAGCCCTAGGGGGATCTGGCTCTTTCTGGTCTCCATGGGCACCAGGCAAACACAGTATACACAGGCATATAAGTAGGCAAAACAGTCATACATAGCAAAATTATAGTTTATATCCTAACAAATCAAAAAGAATAAAGGGGCTGAAGATGTAACTCAGTTGGTAGCATTCTTGCCTAGCATAGATGAATCTCTCAGTTCAATTCATGTTTCATAAAGGGGACAAGCCTAGGATGCTTGTAACCAAAGCTTTTGAGAGGTGGAGGTAGCAGCATCAGAAATTGAAGGTCATTCTTTGGGGACATAGGAAGTTTGAAGGCAGCCTGGGCTATATGACACCCCGCCTTAAGAAACAAAAACACAAAAAGAATCACAAAAGAATGTCCCAGGAGAAAGAAGAAAAAAAGCATATGGGACACAAGTTACTAGAGAGTTATGAAAGGCCACAAAGCTGGAATAGGCATTGACTTCAGTCATAGTCAGCAGAAATGGCAACCTGGGTGTAGGAACTGAACTCTTTCTCCTGCAAACTTCATAGGCACACTTCCACTGAGCCATCTTTCCAGTATCTAGAAACTGTTTATGCACAATATAGCTTCAGTTTCTGACTTTTATTACCAGCAGAAGACATATTTATCTTGGAAGAAGACTTTTATTTGCCCCATCAATAGCTATATCTAAAGGAAACAGGAATTTACTGCTCATAAGCAAGAACTCATAGGACGAAATGAACAGTCATTGTTTGTCAAGTAATGACCATCACATCCTGATATAATTATGTATGGCTCTGAAAATAAAATATTGAAATTTAGGCTAATGACTGAAGCCTACAGAAGAGGTCTCCATAAAACTAAGTCTGGAGTAAAAGGTCTTTTTCAGATAGGCACGAAGGCCTGACACCCCTGATCTCACCAACTGGGAGGTAGAAGCAAGAACATCAAGGCCAGTCTTAATCCCATGAGGTCCTAAGTAAAAAAAAGAAGAAGGAGGAGGAGGAGGAGGAGGAGGAGGAG